ATCAATAAGGTGATAAAGTGAAGATGCCCTTGTGGAAATCTCAGTATCCCACTTGCATCTCCTTAGGACAGACAGAGCATTCATGCAAGCCTTTGATCTTCCAAACAGCTCGGAAACATGAGCAGCAACCATTGCAGCAGCTACAATCTCATTCGAACTGTAGCTCCATGATGTACCGATAGACGATGGCTTCAATGAGAAAAGGGCTTCAAGAATTCCAAGTATTCGACGAGAGTGACAAACAGCAGATGTAATACTATTATACAACTCATGAGCAGCTCCATTACCCTTTGCAACTTTAGTCATTCTTGCGGAGTCTTTAGATTCCAAACATGTACGGCTTTTGGAAATCAAAGGAAATAACTGAAGCTCACAAGCCAATGCACAAATAGCTGCTAGAACATAAGAATCAAATGTTGCAACTGGCCCTTGTTTTCTCCTATTTTTGTAACTTGTAACCGCCTCTCCATTTACTGTCTCTGACTCCCCAATTTCTTCTGCAGAATGACTACCACAACCTGTTGGTCTTTTGCTCCCATCAGGCAAAGCATCATGACTGACACAAATTGTTAGCACTACAAACAACAAGCGGGAGGCAAGGTCCATAGATGCACAAGATTCCAAAAACAGTGAATGAATCATTGTATGAAGCTCAGCAACAGCTAGGTTCTTAGTGGTAGACCACATACTGCCATGACCTCTCGGTTTTCGGGGTTGCTCCGAATTCTCTGAGGGGAAAGTTCTTCGGAGTACAGTTTCCACAGTGGCAACAAAGATTCTCATGAGGCATGCTTCAGATGGACTTCCCTGGGGAAGATACTCTAAGACTTTAAGCAGTGGTAAATACAAATTCCATGACAAAGGAGGAGGTTGCAAAGGGGCTGCAACTACTATTTCAGGCAAGTCAACAACTGCAGAACTCAGAGGAAGCAGACCATAAGCGGCTTCCCAAATGGTACATATTCTCCATTCAACATCAGGGCCATGTGCACATAACATTGATGCAATTCCTTGAGCAGTTGCCTCAATAGTGGCATCACAAATAGAAGCTTCGATCTGATTGAATTTATCATCAATAGTAATGTGTATCAATCACAAAAGAACAAGTTAAACCAGAACAAATAAGAGAATACATTTGCTGAGTGGTATGCTTCAAATAAATAATTTAAGAATTCATGGCATTGTGTAAACAACAAATAGATAACTCATAATTTTCCTTGGTTCACTTTGATAGTGCAAATATCTTGAGTTACCTGTCTCTTGTATGGTGAAATATAACCATCTACAGGTTCATGATGGACTTTGATTCCTTCAGCATGTCTCAGAGGGGGAAAGAGCAATGTAGGCTGAGAAAGTATTCGGAAAAGCAAAGCAGCTGCAGCATCTGCAGCGATTCCAACTCTCATGGACATTGCAATACCGATTGCACGTAGGAAGTGCAAATGCATCCAATTCCTTGGAAGCTGCAGAAGGAAATATAAGAAAATTAGCAACTACATGCTTTAAGAGAGATGCTGGTCAATCAGATAATTATGACAACATTAGGTGTCAAAGGAAACTCAATTGAAGTTTTTGAAGCATTTTGTTGACATTACAATAATTCAGTGATTTGCAACCCCAAAGAAAAAAGTGCACGTCCGAAATAAACCAATGGTTCAGTGATTTGCATCCAGTGTTTAAAGAAGACACACGAGGAAGAGGATTTCTGACGACTTGGGCAACACCCTTAAATTGATACACATGGCCATCCAGATTAGTAGGCCTAGATATTTTGCCACTAAAGGAAAAAATATTAGTTTCTGTAACAAAATGTCTGTGATCAACGCTTGGTGGTGCAAGTTGTCTATATGGTCAAATTGCTGTCCTGCAATTGTCACTCTGATTTTTTCACCGAAGCATGACTGGTATACAAAGAAGATATATTTTGGATCATCATACAAGCTGACATGGCCCATATGCATATCCAGACTAGTTTTATCAAGATGTTGAAATTGAAGAAACTTGTCATGATGTTGTTGTTTTCTTATGGCATTTGGTTTGATATAGTATATTTCTAGAGCATCCTTCTTTTCTATTTCCCTCTTTTAACTAACCCAATACTTGTTGAAACTAAAAAGGAAGATATGTTGACAGAAATAGTTATCGAGTAAAATTAACAACTTTGTGGTAACAGTGCAATGATGTGATGATTTACGGGAGAAATGAACAACACTGATAAGTGGACATTGGAACAGAATTACATATCTTCAATTATCACAACATACCTTCACACCAGATGCGTAATCCTCAGCTGCTCTAAGGAGTTCAACTAGTTGTACAGCAGCATCAAGTGCATCAGGTGCCCATGATGGTGGTGCTTCAAGCAGTCCAAGAAGTAGCCTCTGAGTTGCACTAGGTGTAGCAAGGGCATAGTACCTGACGGAAGAAATGCAATCATAAGTAATATCTCTACCAGCACACGTATTATATGTTAAAGGCAGGTTGCTCACCTATGAAACAAGCAAGCATAAGGCTCAAGAGCAGGCAGGGCAGCATCTAGATGCTCATCTAAGGCATTTGTAGGAGGAGGAAGCAAGAGTGCAGGAACAGCAGCTGCTGTCAAATTTGCAGTCTCGTAACGAGCTACTTCTTCATCACAAACACTCAGTATAACTCCAGCTCCATTGGCTACAGCCCATCTGGGAGTGGATTGCATAAGTTGATGCTTTCCAGATCCACGACTACAAGCTGTGTAAAAACATTAAATAGTTGTCAGGTCTTTAGGCACATGCAGAAACTAAAACTGCATTAGGAAAAGACCTTGATTTTTCTATAGGAATGAATGAACACAAGTTTTACATGTGCAGGGATAGAAATAACTAGAGACAATTCAATCTTGCAACATATAAATTTGATATATGCAGAAGTTTTTAGTGCAGTGGGCATAATTATTCTCATGTATATGATAAAGAATTCCAAGCATAAACTGAGAGAAGCAGAAATCAACATAGACATCATACACAAAGCCAACAAATACAAGAAGAACCTTCAAAGGAAACTGACTTACAAAAATTAGAAGAGATTCGAAGCAAGTGCTGTGCTACGAGAGTAAGAAATACCTCTCCATTCCTAGAGCTATCTCCATCTCTCTTCTCTATCCCCTTTTTTTTCATTCATTTAACATCACATACAAATGCTTCCTATCAAAGTTTGCTAGTGCTGTGATCTTGGACTTCACTAGCTGTTTTGATGGGTTTGAAATGGCATTTTTTGACCTGATCAGATCCAAGTTGGTCTAGTACAAATCTTAAGGCAGAGCTGCACTCCACATTTCCCAATCAAACCTATTTATAAGCCTAGCATACACTCGATGAAGTGGGCATCATAGGTAACCCCAGAAGGATTCTCTTATGCAAAATAATCGCCAATAAAGGAAGTCTTAGTTCAAATAGGTTAAGGCTTTAACTGATGGACAGTCATTAGATCCTTGCTACCAATTAACCAAAAGGCATTAACACATAATTTTAGTTGAATCTACCTAAGCAGTTTTATCACACAAGACACAGTGATAAAATATGAAGTGCAAGTATAGAATGCAGTTTTGCCTGGACCGGCATGAAACGGATGGCATGTGTCATGCAGACCACCTCCATTTTGAATGATCCGGTCTGACCTATGAAAAAAAAAATATTTAACTCATCAATTGCTGGTTTAGGGCTTGTGTTCGCGAGCCTCTTCACCATACGTGAAGAGTCTGTGAGCTACCTATTGTCGCTTGTCCTTTGCCATGCGCTGGTGATTTTGGGTATGCTTCCTCCTCCTCCTCCTCCTCCACCACTGTTTTCTCTTCTTCCTTCCTTTATCTCATTTCTCTTCCTCCTCTTCCTCCACTGCCTCCTCTTCTTACTCCTTCCAACTCCTCTTCCTTGATCGCATCCACTTTTTCCTTCTTTTTCCTCCTCCTTCCTCCATCGCCATATGTTCCTTCCTCTTGTTCCTTTTCGAGTCTTTGGTATATACCAGTGTACCATGTATCGGTACGTTGGTATTGGGGTATTGGTTGGTATGTACCGGTCCGAACGACTGGTGCAGTACCCTGATACGAGATTGCAGTCCTTGCTTGCAAGGTCTAGGAGTGTTTAGTGTAGAAAGCCTTACCTCTCCATGCAGTTTCATTTATTTATTAGATGTTTTGCATTGAATTAGTTAAGAATAAAATCATAATAGATTATGTAAAAATTGTGTTTGAACTTTGAATACAATTTGTCATAGTGCATCTTGAAGCATATAAATGCAGAAAATATTAAAAAGAGTATGCTATCAATTTTCACGAACCAGTTGTCGGAGGCTTTAGGTCTCCACCTGCTGCATATTTGCCCATGACCCCTCCACACCTAATTCAAAAGAAAATATGTGAAAGGAAATGTTGAAGACTAACACATGTAACAAATTGGTCTCTAGTTCATAAAGGAAAAAAAACATAGCCTAGGTTTCCACAATATCAAAGCAGAGAAACTTCAAACTTAGTGACATATGCAACTCAAGGCCATACGTAACTTGATCGTTATTGAAGACTAATATTCCCAAATGAAAACTACATTTCATACCATCTAAAATAATCACTTCTAATTCCCAGTGGTGCAGCAAGCAAAATATCCGTAATCCAGGGAGATAATGGTCGCAATGGTTTCCTATCTTCCTGCTGTAGTGGGTGATTTGCTTCTTCCTGCTTTGACTTGCTTGTGGTAGCACGGTTGTCACTATTGCTCCTCTCATATTCAACATTATGATGCTCAACCTTGTGAATTGGCCGATTGTAGTGAGTTAAAACCCGTAAAATTTCCCCACATGCCAAAGCCCATTGCTCAGAATATTCTTTCTGCATTTGAAAGTGTTAGTTGGTAGAATAAATTAGTATCCTTAAGACATGAATTAGAACCCTGAAGTTCTGTTTTAGAAGTCAAATTTTATGTATGGTTTCTGAAAGAGAATTCTACAGCAACATTAATCAAACAATAAAATGGCTAATTTCTCAAAGTCCCATACCTCAGAGTTCTGTTTGAATAGGGATATAAAAGAGCAAAATGGAGAGTCATTTCTATCATATGCCAATGTCCCATCAATTATAAGCGAAAGAATTGGATGGATAATGGCATGACCATGCTCTGGATGGTGCAGAACAAATACAGCTGGAATATAACATTAGCAGTCAGTAACTTCCCCAGTATAAAGTTTAAATAGAAGAAATGACAGAGAACAATTCATGACATCTATAGTATGTGATTGGCACAGGGAGGAGTAAGAATCCCATACCCAAAACTTCATCCAAAAGGCGCTTATCTTTTGAAGGATAATGACTTTGGATTAGCTGCACATACAAGTCCAAGTAGCAGTAAATGTAAGACTTTGTCACCATTTGTTCATGTAGAACATAATATTTTTTTAATGCAGAGTAAAAAACATGACAATAAGCTCATGATCTGTGGTACTGAAAATTGAATGCTTTTAACATTATTCCGATAGAAAGGGTTCATACCTGAGCTATATCTTCTTGGAATTCCTCAGACGTGAACTGACCAAAATATTCAACATAGGCCATCACTTGTGCCTTTAAGAACCAAAAGCATGTTAGGAAAGAAATCAGACAAAAGCTTAGACATGGCTAACAGTCAACAAATTTACTTTCAGGCATACAGTGAATGATTGTTTATGGTAAAATCAACTGCTCCATTGTATCCATTTATTTTATTTTTCCCCCTCTTTTCTGTAAAACTTACCCATGTTAATCTTATCAGGGTTTAAAACTTCTAATAACTGAAACAACACATATGATTACTGATGCTACGATATCTAAATCTTTGTGTAGTTGGCAAAGAGTATATTTGATTTCTATAACCAATTACAACTTAGAGTCAAGAAAGCAAATTGTGCTATATAGGGTCAACATGGTGCTACCAAGAATGTTATCATCTTAGTTCCTCTTCTAGGAAATAAATGTATGAACTAAGAGATCCAATAAGAAGAACGAATTGGTAACACAGTGAAAGAAGCCAATGTGGAACAGAAGATGCTAGAGGTACTAGCAAATCCAAGTTGTAGCAGCCTAAAAGTAGAACATGAAGATCTACCAAATAGATGCTGAAGCCAGCAACAATGGTAAATATGTCTAGATCATGAAGACATGACCTAAGTCAAGGACTGTGTCGAAACCACGTTAGTCGTTAGAATGGTCTAGGAATTCAGATATTAACAGGGAAGACATGAGGAAGAGTCAAAGTGGCTAGAGAAATTACCAATAGTTAAGAAACAGTTATATATAATTGCATCACTAGGAATAATTGAACACCAAAAGCAATAAAATTTGAAGCACAAAGTAGTACATATTATATCATAACAGGGAACTGTATGTAGATATTACAGAAATTTGGCATGAAATAACGGCAAAGACATTTAAGTAGGACTTCAGTTAACTTTTGTCTGACTTACATTATATTGCCTTTATTCTAGTCTTATTGTAAGCGAAATTGATGTGGGTAAAAAGGCACGAATAAGACCCAAATCAACTTCCTACAACTTCTACTAAAGGATTGCAGATGTGAAGTTTCATTGCAATCCAGCAAGGCATCAAAGTAGCAGTCTAAGCAACAACATATTGTAGGGCACGATATGAAAAAAAAAGAAAGAAAGAAAGAAAGGATAAGGACTCCATCTTTTACCTGTTTCTGCTGCTCACCGAGTGGTGGCGGCCAAAAGAGGGATGAGAATTGGAGCCCATTGGTCCACTTCCCATGCGAGGCAGACATTCCGTGTCACATCCTGG